GAAACTGAACTAACTTTGTGTCATGTTGAGGACTCAGTGGTCTCCTTCTTTAAACATAAGTTAATGGTGAGGAGGACAGATGCCCCACAGACCACAATTGACACTTTCTTCAGTAAAAGGCAGAGGGAACAAGATGCTATCCCTCAGCCTTCCACTTCAAGAAAGAGAGGATGTTCATGGTGGAGAATCTGTCAGTCCAGAGGTTCCTGACATTTTCATGGAAGGTGACTCACCTTCCAAGAAGCAGTAAAATGCTTCTCCTCCACCTCCACTTCCTTCTCTTCTCCCTTCTCCTCCTCCACCTCCCACTTCAAATGCACATCATCATCATCATCCAGGAGCCTTCTACATACACACCTCAAAGTAAGTGAACTTTTCTACCATTTTTGTTGAATTTAGGCAATTTTCGGTGAGCTGGAACCAATTACCCAAAAACCCATTGAAACAATGGTTTCGGTTAACGAGAAACCTGCTGGAACGGATTGTGCTCGTTAACCGAGGGACCACTGTATCAAGTATCAGTATGAATAGAATGCCATTGTAATATAACAGTATTTTAACCAAAAACTATTAAAAAAACGAGTAACTTCTCTTGAACAGCGGAAGGTTAGGTAAAATCTTTTGTTTTCGTCATGTGTTTTATCCTATTTTACATTAAAATACATCACGTTTCAGCAAAACTACTATTTATTTCCGAGAATATATTCATTCAGGCGCAGTTTAGGTAAAATATACGTGTGATGTAACAGTTTTTTTAACTGAAAACGATTCGAAAAACACGTATCCTCTAGCCCTGTTCAAGGAGAGGACTGGGAGGCCCGCGTAAAGCGAGAAACGCGTAAAGTGAACAACATAACATATGGGATTAAATGAAATAGAGACCAGCTGACCCCCAAACTCCATTATTTCCGACACAATATCTATGTTCTAGTAAAAATAACATCTTAATTTTATGATGGTACATGCACACAATTAATACTTAAGAGAAATAGAGGAATACAGTCGCCAAGTTAATGTCCATTCAAATAATGGACTCAACTCCCTCCCCCTCTTCTCACACTACACTGCTGGCTCTTCCATCTCTAAGAAATTTTGGGGGGAAAACCAGGTATAGTAATAAATAATACCTCAAACTAAAGTTAGGATAATATAATTGACATTGCTGGATTCCTTGTAAGACCAGGAATATTTTGAATATAAATGTCATATATTTTGCACAAAAGATAATATATTTACTCAGAGTAAACAAAATACTTACATTAGATCTAAAATTTGTATGTCTAATCCAAAATATATGATGTTTATATTCAAAATGATCATCAAATTGTAAGAATTCCAGCAATGTAATTATATTCTGGCCGGGTAATTTGTATGAATTTTATGAGCTGAAACAAATATCTTCAGTTAATAAAAAAAAAAAATATTCTTCACAACACTATCTGTCAATCAAAGTACCCCACCTTGCCTCCCCCCCTCTTCCAACCGCGCCAGATGGTCGGTCGGTCCCAACCCTCCCCCCTACCCCCCACCTTCCCTCCATACCAGAGAAATGTTGGGTGAAAAAACTAGATTTTAACTTTTAGTAATAAATAATACCTCAGACTAAAGTTAGGATAATATAATTGACATTGCTGGATTCCTTGCAAGACCAGGAATATTTTGAATATAAATGTCATATATTTTACACAAAAGATAACATATTTGCTCTGAGTAAACAAAATACTTGCATTAGATCTAAAATTTGTATGTCTAATGCAAAATCTATGATGCTTATATTCAAAATGATCATCAAATTGTAAGAATTCCAGCAATGTAAATTATATTCTGGCCAGATAATTTGTATAAATTTTATGAGCTAAATAAAAAAATTATACTTCACCCGCGTAAAGGGGTACACGCACTGGAATGTGAGCATCCCGGGTTCTGGCAGGGTACTGCGTAAACGTGGAAACGCGGAATGTGGGACCGCGTAAAGTGAGGGTTGACTGTATTCTATTGTTTTTTATTTATTATTGTACAGTTGTACCCCACTTAACGCGGTCAATTGAACCCAGAGGGTCCCGTGTTAAGTGAAATCCGCGTTAAGTGAACAACAGAACATATGGGATTAATTCCAATAGAAACCGGCCCTACCCCCAAACTCCACTTTTTGAAGGCACATACCTATGTTGTAGTAAAAATAACATCTTAATTTTATGATGGTACATGCACACAATTAATACTTAAGAGAAATAGAGAAATACAGTCGCCAAGTTAATGTCCATTCAAATAATGGACTCAACTCCCTCCCCCTCTTCTCACACTACACTGCTGGCTCTTCCCTCTCAGAGAAATTTTTGGGGGAAAACCACTAAATTTTAATAAATAATACCTCAAACTAAAGTTAGGATAATACAATTGACATTGCTGGATTCCTTGTAAGACCAGGAATATTTTGAATATAAATGTCATATATTTTGCACAAAAGATAACAGTTACCTAGAGAAAAATTTTTATCTAAAAATTGTATGTTTAATGCAAAATATATGATGTTTATATTCAAAATGATCACCAAATTATAAGAATTCCAGCAATGTAAATTATATTCTGACCGGGTAATTTGTATGAATTTTATGAGCTAAAACAAATATCTTCAGTTAATAAAAAAAAAAATAATCTTCACGACACTATCTGTCAATCAAAGTACCCCACCTTGCCTCCCCCCCTCTTCCAACCGCGCGGTCAGTCCCAACCCTCCCCCCCACCCCCCACCAATCCTCCCTTCCAGAGTTTTTAACATTTAGTATTAAATAATACCTCAGATTAAAGTTAGGATAATATAATTGACATTGCTGGATTCCTTGTAAGACCAGGAATATTTTGAATATAAATGTCATATATTTTGCACAAAAGATAACATAGTTACCTTGAGAAAATTTTTATCTAAAAATTGTATGTTTAATGCAAAATATATGATGTTTATATTCAAAATGATCACCAAATTATAAGAATTCCAGCAATGTAAATTATATTCTGACCGGGTAATTTGTATGAATTTTATGAGCTAAAACAAATATCTTCAGTTAATAAAAAAAATAATAATTCTTCACGGGGTAACAGATGGTCGGTCGGTCGGTCCCTCCCTCCCCCCCACCCCCCACCAACCGTCCCAAGGAGATGTGTGGGATAACCACTAAATTTTAATAAATAATACCTCAAACTAAAGTTAGGATAATATAATTGACATTGCTGGATTCCTTGTAAGACCAGGAATATTTTGAATATAAATGTCATATATTTTGCACAAAAGATAACATAGTTACTCTGAGAAAAATTTTGATCTAAAATTTGTATGTCTAATGGAAAATATATGATGTTTATATTCAAAATGATCACCAAATTATAAGAATTCCAGCAATGTAAATTATATTCTGGCCGGGTAATTTGTATGAATTTTATGAGCTAAAACAGGCAGTCAGGCAGGGTGGCGGGTGGGGCAAATCTAAAAATAGCGTCTCGAGCCGGACACTCACCGCGTATATGTGGAAAAAATCCGTGTTAAGTGAAAGTTCAGCTCTGGCGAGGCACCGCGTATATGATAAAACGCGTTAAGTGAAACCGCGTTAGGCGGGGTAATACTGTACAGTATACTGTACAGTACAGTACTGGATTTAGTTTATATTTAATGTTTTGCTAATTCTATTACCGCTATGTATACTTTTTCTGTGATTTGGAACCAATTACCCAATATCCCATTGAAATAATAGATTCAGTTAACGAAATTTTCGGCTAACTAACGACTCTGTGGAATGAATTGTGTTCATTAACTGAGGGACCATTGTAGTTGTATATGTATGCACTGCTTTCTATAGAAATGGCAATGATTTTCTGTATATGTAATGTATTTCATGGGGTAAAGGGAGGCTCAGGAACGTAACTCCTGTATTTTATCTATTTCTTATGGGGAAAATTGATTCGCTTAACATTGTTTCGTATAACATCGTGTTTTCAGGAACGTAACCCCGACAATAAGCGAGGACTTTCTGTATATAAATGACTGTAATTCATTACCTATTGTGCTCTATGTTTGGTATCATTTATTTCTGTTTGTTTTATGTTTGGTACAAAACAAAGAAATAATGAAAAGACTTCATTCGAAGGCAAATTTCATCTTTGACTTAGACCTTTTATTCTAAATGTTAAAAAAAAAATTATCCTCTCTGAAGTGCTAATGCCTTGAAATCATTTGCATTTTGATAGTCCAAATATTTAACATTATTTTAGAGAATAACAGGTCTGCTTACAAATTGTGAACACATTTAGGTTGAATAAATGGACAGCTACACGAACATTTTCTATGAACCAATCAGGTATGTGTAGCCATTGATGAGGAGTGTGGCTTTCGGGCCAGGTTAGCGTGGAAATACTGCATTTACAGGGGTTCATCATATAAAAATTCCACAAATCATTATATTTTGAGATATTTATTTTATCATTGTTTTAATTTTATTCCATAGTACGTTTACTATTGCGAGTTTCCTTCTGTCAAATGTTAACAAACAAAGCACTGCCACACAGCACAAAACTTCAGAAAGCCCCTGTAAATGCACTAAAGAAGGGGACTGTACATATAGCAGTCCCTGAGTTACAAACAACTGTACTTACAATACAGTACATTCATCGCAAAAATCTGTTCCTATCTATGAGCACTTTATTCACAAATACATTATTTATATATTTTTTTTTTGTATGGAATATTATTGTTGTTTTGTATTGGCAAGGTTCTGTTTTAACCTAACCTATGGAATTAACAGTGTTCTGACTTATGAACAGATCAACTTACAAACAGGGTCCATGAAAGAAACCCATTGGTAACTCAGGGACTGCCTGTATAGTACATACAATGCTCTGGAGAATCCAAAATATTTTTTTCTACACATATGAACTTAAAAAGGATCAGCTCAATTTGATAAAAAGGATATCTATTTATATAAGCACTAGAGTACAAAGGAGGTATTTACCTATAGGCCTTGTATATCATATCATTGGAAGCTGCTCCTTCAGCAAAGCCGGCAGCATATGCTTGAACAGCATCAGGGAACTCTGGATTGGTTTCTACCTCAAGGTAGCCCCACCTGAAAAAATAACTTTTACACTAACTTTGCTTTTTAGAGGATCATATATTAGAAATACAAATACTGTACAGCACTAGACTTAAATCAGCTCATTTTTGGCGATGAAATACATTAAATATAAAAATACAGTAAAACACAATACAATTTTATTCACGAGTTATTTCAAACCTGGAAACATTTAAGTGCAACTACATATACTGTACAGTACTCTGAAATCACAATAAAAAAGTTCATTCACACAACCACCCAGATCCACAAAGTCTATTATCAATTATACCTTCTTAGAGAAACTACAATATTTCACATAAAATAACTGGTTAAGAACAAAAATACCATACCCATCGCCCAAACACACAATTACTAACCCATCAATAAAAGTGTTGTCAGTAAAATTGCTTCTAGCAACCCAATTCTTAGCCACTCCATCATGAGTCCTGTAGAGCACACCATCAAAGGTAACACTAATAATAGTTGCTGAAACTGGGATCAGAAAGACTGCCAGTAAAAATTGTATACTACTGGCAATCATTTGCATCAGTTGCATGGTGGTTGTTTCCAGTTCCTGTGAAAAAAAGTAAAACATTAAACTACCGTATATCTCGGCTTATAAGACGGAATTTGAACATTAAAAAAATCTGCCCAAAGTTAGGGGGTCGTCTAAACCACCAAGTATAAAATTCTTACCTCTTAAATATTGTGGTTTAGTGTGTCAAGAGTGGTGATGGAAACATCGTAAGCCACTCACAAGGTCTTACCACTCATTATTTTATACTGAAACTTACGTTTGGCAAGCTGGATTCAAATTAAGATTACCGGTATATTAAAATAATAAAAATGTATTATAAACCTGACTAACATACCGTAAAAGAGAATTATACTCCTGTAATAAACACAGCTATCATCACACACCCCTCCCCATGCCCCCCCCCCCATTTGCCAGTGAGGAGACAAGAAAGGGAAAGTGACCGCGAGATTGGGCTATTTTTAACCGTGGAGGTGGTCAGTAATGCATATCGGTATATTTACTGATAATAATACTTATCTCCTATATAAAATTAATTTAAAATTTATTTTTTTACAGGGAATATTCAGTAAATGACTGCATTAATTCTTGAAACTACTGACAGTTAAATACAGACGCTTAAGTGACGTCACTAGTGTTTACACTACACCAGCTGGTAACATTTGATGCCATTACTTGAAGTGAATTGGCCTTATTTTAAGTAACTAACCATAAATAAATACAAAAAGTAAAAAAAAGATCAAAAGTGAGAAATAATATACTGTATGTATGTTGTGTTGTCAAAGTTAGAGGAACAATTCAAACTGCAATTGTGTGTACGGTATGCGCAAAAAAATCTAGAATTTGCCTTTATTATAAAACAGTACTGTACTGTATTGTACTGTGTGTGAAAAAAGGCACTTTTCAGTGTCATTCATTTGTTAATGTTTCTGTTACACTACAGTGCTATACATGTGTCTGTAAAACCAGTACAGTACAGTATAAATTATCTGTACATTACATGTACTGTACCTGATTTCTAGTCCCTCCCTCCTCCCACTAGGGTGCTGAGGTAAATTGGATCTGGAGCTTTTGGTTGGGATGCCGATATTAATAAAGGAATGGGAGAGTCTGAAAATATTCAAGAGTAAAACTCACTAGCTTTCAGCCTGTTAGACATGGTTATCTGCAGGATATGTTTTAGAGGGGGAATGTTGACAAAATGGCAGGAATTTATAAATTTATTGCAAGATCTGATAACAAATCTGACAGTTTATGCTGTACAAACACTCCCCGAGTTACGGATGGGTTCTGTTTTTGGAGGATATCCTTAAACTGAATTTTCCATAAACCGGAAGCAGGGCCGGATTAAGGTAGGTGGAGGTCCTTTCGTATAAATTAAATAAAAATAACTTTACTTTCTCTGACAAGCTAGACATAGAATTGCCTACGGTACAGTATGTATGTATGAAAACAAATTTCACAGACTAAATTTAAGTGGTGGTAGGTTAATAATTGAAATACATATCATTACAAATTGTGTACTTTATTAATACAATAAGTCCTCGCTTAACGTTGGGGTTACGTTCCTAAAAATGAGACGTTATACAAAACAACGTTAAGCGGATAAATTTTCCTCATAAGAAATAGATAAAATACAGGAGTTATGTTCCTGAGCATCCCTTTACCCCATGAAATACATTACAAATACAGAAAATCATTGCCATTTCTATAGAAAATAATGCATACATATACCTGTACAACTACATGGGCAAAGGTGGTAGAGTAAGTGTGTGGTGGGTAATGGAGCGGAGGAGGCGAATGGCCGGAGGGGAGGAGTATGGCAGGAGCGGAGGAGGAGGGTGGGAGTGGAGGAGGGTGGCGAGACACTAAGACTCTGCGCCAATCCGAGAGCGGGTCATGCAGCGTAAAATGTAGTCTGTGATGACGCAAAACGAAGTAGTATCAGATCACCGGGACGTTAAATGAGTTTTTTGGTCTTTAAAGTTTAGCAACGTAATACCAAAACAACGTTAAGCGGGACGACGTTAAGCGTGGACTTACTGTATGTATTAATCCATAAGGAATAACCAAACAAAATGAACATAAATTAAACTTCTTTTTCTTTGATATCACATTATATTCTAACATAGGTGCATTGAAACCTTACGTGCCTTTTTAAAAAAAATTTTTTTGATCAGCTTGTCGAAATAAATGTCCAATTGTAATAAAACACAGTATTTATCAATTATACTTCCCAAATTAGATGATCTTCCACCAATCACATATCATGACACATTCATTCTGCCAAATTCTAAAATAGATTTGCTAGGCCTCACCATTTCCTCTAATATGTCATGGAAGCCACACATCCACAACATTACTAAAGCTGCCTCCCAAAAGCTGGGAATGCTGTACAGATGCCGTAGCTACTTCTGTCCTGAGCAGTTGCTTCAAGTATATAAGGGATTCATTCGTCCTAACTTGAGTACGGTACTGTTTTAATATCTGGGGAGGCTCTTCTTCTGTCCAACTGTTAGCTGGGGTGGAATCAAAGGCATTTCATCTTATTAAATCTCCTCCTTTAGTTGATAATCTCTCTTCCCTTTCTCTTCGCCGCAATGTTGCTTCACTCTCCCTCTGTTACAGGTATTTAACGGGCAATGTTCGGTGGATTTGGCAACCTGTGTACCGCCGGCAAAGCCGTGGGCTCCTAACACTCGTCTTGCCTGCGGTGCCCACCGTTTCTGTGTGGATGTTGGTCACACTAGAATAACCCATTAAAGTACATCCTTCTTTCCTAACACAGCCAAACTGTGAAATGCTCTGCCTTCTTCTGTGCTTCCATACTCCTACAATGTCTCGCTTCAAAAAGCTGGTTTTCCGGCACTTTCATGGTGTAGATTAATACAGTACAGTCTTTTTCTCTTCTATTTTTAATTTCTTTTTACTCATATTTTTTCACCTGGGTGGGCTATTCCTCATAAGAAAATGTGCCAGAAAATTTTTCACATATTTCAGTTTAAAAAATGACCTCTCTCCAGAGCAATTCATTAGCATAAGACTCAGATAAATAAGCGGGTCGGGATATATCGCGAGATAGGGTCCAACGATGTTCGCTATACAGCTCCTCCCCAACTTACGACCTACTTGACTTTCGACCTGCCTCAGTCGTACCAAAATTTTGTCAAATTAGTAGGGTATGCTATAACGAACGGATTCTACTACAAATATTCCTATAATGAACGGTTTTACCTATAAAATTGAGAATGCTATAACGAATGCAACTCCTACAACGAATGCAGTTGAATACGGGACTATTTCGTCTGGCGCATGAATATTGTTGTACCGCGGCTCACAAGAAGAACATCAGGCGGCATCTTTGTATCATTGTGTAGCCAGTGCACCACTGAACTTGTTGAAATTTCGTCTTTTGATGTGGAAATTCGTGTTATTTGTACAACTATTTTGTTATACAAGTGTACAATTGTAACAATGAATAGTCCAAAGCGAGTGAGAAAGCTAATAACCCTTGAAACTATGAAAGAAATCATAAAGAAACGTGAGAATGGAACAAGCATTGCGAAACTTAGTGATGAATATGGGATGGCTAAATCGACTATACTACGTACGATTTTGAAGAATAAAGAGGAGTTGAAAACTGTGCAAGTGACTAAGGGAATCTCTAGACTTAGCAAAGCAAGGTGTAATGTGATTGAAGAGATGGAAAATTTACTCTTAGTGTGGATAAAGGAGAAAGAAATGGCAGGTGATAGCGTTCGTGAAGCTATAATTTGTGAGAAGGCCAGACAATTGTTTGAGGACCTTAAAGCCAAGACTCCCAGTGGAAGTGATAGTGATGTGCCAGTGTTTAGGGGTACCAAGGGGTGGTTTACTGGTTTCAGAAGAAGAAATAAGTTACACAGTGTTGTGAGACATGGTGATGCTGCTAGTGCAGATAAGGAAGCAGCTAAGGAACACCATGACATTTTTTTAAATGTGATTAAAGAGGGAGGCTTTGTTTCTCAGCAGGTATTTAACTGTGATGAAACTGGACTTTTTTGGAAAAAAATGCCTCGCCGTACATACATTACCAGGGAGGAAACTTCTGTCCCTGGCCATAAGCCAATGAAAGACAGGCTTAGCCTCCTTCTTTGTGCTAATGCTTCTTGTGACTGCAAAATAAAGCCACTCCTTGTGTACCATGCAGAAAACCCCAGAGCTTTCAAAAACATTAGGAAGAACCGCCTTGGTGTTATGTGGCGGTCAAACCCAAAGGCTTGGGTGACCAGGAGTCTTTTCTCTGAGTGTGTGACTGAGGTGTTTGAACCCAGTGTTCGGGAATACCTCAGGGAGAATAATCTTCCATTGAAAGCTCTATTGGTGATGGACAATGCACCAGCCCACCCTCCTAATTTGATGGTTGAATTGCCAGAGGAGTTCACCTTCATCACTGTGCACTTCTTGCCACCCAACACAACACCTCTCATCCAGCCCATGGATCAACAGGTAATTTCAAACTTTAAGAAGCTGTACACAAAGGCACTGTTTAGAAAATGTTTTGTGTCCACTTCTTCCACTGATGTTCGTGTGAAGGAATTTTGGAAGAGTCACTTCAATATAGCAGACGCTGTGATTTTAATTGTCAGCCTGGAAAGAGGTTTCTTTGAGGTGTCTTTGTGCTGCTTGGAGGCCATTGTGGTCTGAATGTGTGCTTCAAATAGACTTTGAAGGCTTTGAAGAGTTAGAGGAAGAGGCTGTTGTACATGAAATTGTGTCTGGGCAATTCCATGGGCCTGGAAGTGGATGACGATGATGTTGAGGAGTTGGTGGATGAGCATAGTAAGAAGCTGTCCACTGAGGAGCTGCTTGAGCTTCACAAAGAAGAGAACGAGACACTAAAGCGGAGCTTAGCTTCTGAGGAGTCAGGGGAGGATGAGGACATAGAGGAAAGCCGCATCATTCCAGCCAGAGATCTAAAGGATGTGTTCTGGTGCTGGAGCAAACTGTCTAAGCTTGTGGAGGTTTATCATCTTGATGCTGGTGCTGTGGAAAAGGGCATCAGTATTTTTAATAACAATGTGATGAACTACTTTTGGAAGGTCCAGAAATCAAGGTTGAAGCAGCCAACCCTGGATTCCTTCTTTAAAAAAGTAGCAAAAGACCCTACAGACAAAGTGCCTGTAAGACAGTCACCAAAGAGGGCTAGGAAGGATGACTCCTCTCCTTCCACCTCTTCTCCATAATTCTCTCCTCCCCCTTCCTCCTGTCCTGCATGCTGAACAACACTGAGGTAACAAAGTACCGTATTTTTTACTTTTTCCACAGAAATTTTTCAGTGTTAAGTGGTTGCATTTGGGGGCCTGGGACGGATTAATCCTATAACAAACGAATGCTATAACGAACGAGGTTCTAGAACCAATTAGATTCGTTATAGCATACCCCACTGAGTATGTATTTTCGAGTCCCAACGTCAGTACACAGAGAATTTTCGTTTGTAATTCACTTTAAAATGGCTGGCAAGCTTAAAAGTGAGAGCTTTGTGGTGCTGAGAAGAAAATGAGATACCCATTTTAGATTTTCTATGTATTATTTAAGCATTTTCGACTTACGACCATTTCGACGTACGACCTGGATTTGGGTCCCTAACCCCGCCGTAAGTCGGGGAGAAGCTGTATACTAAATTGCAATGTATAATTACATGTAATCAATGGGGAAAATAGGGTTAGGTTCTGGAGGCCCAAAAAAGTGACTAAACTTGACTTAATGAGTTCATTTTCTTACTAACCAAAGCACCAATGAACACTAAACTTGGGAACAACAGGCTATTTCAATATTAATATCAAGGAACACCACTCAGGATCTCTAGACTCGGCAGCTGACGCACCATCCTGGGAACACCAGACTCGGCAGCAGATGCCACACTGCCACCCTTACTTGACAATCCCACACCTACATAAACAAACACCAAAAATATTAGTTACAGTATTAAATCTTTTTCATTATCTTCACTTTACTTTTCATGTCACTAGCAACCCATTTACACTCGCTTTAGAAATTGGAATCTGCATCAGACTCGGCAGTTGATGCGCCATCCTGTGAACAACAGACACTACACTGCCACCCTCACTTAACAATCATAAACGAACAAACCAAAAATATTAGTTAAAATATTAAATCTTTTCCATTAAGCTTTCCATATCTTTACTTCACTTTTCACGTCACTAGCAACCCATTTATACTCACCTTAGAAGTCGTAGTCTGCAGCAGAGTCGGCTGCTTTCACTCAGAAAGACTGAACGGGCAAGCGTGAATGCATGAGTGAGCAGTCACGGTGGTGCCTCTGGTGAGCAAATAAAGCATTTGTTTGCAATGGCGGTACATTTGAAATACTTCCTGCCTGATTTCCCCAGCGAAATAAACAAATTTATCGCTATATATAGGAAAATTTCAATAATTTTGGTAGCCGCGATATAAAAAAATCGTTATATAAAGTCGCGATATATCCCAAACCTACTGTAGTATGTCTGTGTTTGAAAATGTTGATTCTAGTCTCTTATCAAGTATTATTTTGAACATTAAGGCCCAAATTCAGAATGGTGGTTTGAAACTGCACGAAGGTTTAAACCAAGGATCAAGCGAAGATTGAAGATTGTTGGTATTCAGAATGCTGGCCTGAGCCAACACAAAGATTCAAACCGGGTTTGAGATTGGATTTGTCGATCCTTGTGTTAACCCAGCCTGGAGACAGGTTTGGCAGTCGATCTGTCATTCAAGATAACAATTCAACATAAAATTTGACAGAGTGCACTTTTCAGTGATACAGTGAGTTCTGCTATAACGCGTGTTTTGACAACGCGAATTTGCTCGAACGCGATTTATGAATTGAGGAACGATATTTGTAAAACGCGAACTCGTTTGCTCTAACGCGATTCCACTCGAACGGTTGTTGTGGCTTCAGTTCACGTTCGACATCACATGTTCAATTGAGTTATGTGTTTTGTTTGTGAACAATTGCAGAAATAATGTATGTAATATTTATGTATACAGTATACCTATATATTACAAGTAAATTGTAAAATTTTACATAAAAGAGAAAATCAAATTACATAGCGTTTTACACCCTCGCTCTCTCTACATCACACACAGTGTTTACAGTTCACGTTCGACATCACATATTCAATTGATTTATGTGTTCTGTTTGTGAAGAATTGCAGAAATAATTTATGTAATATTTATGTACACAGTAAACCACTCACAAGGTCCTACAGTACCACTAATTATTTTATACTGAAACTTATGTTTGGTAAGCTGGATTAAAATGAAGATTACCGGTATATTAAAATAATAAAAATGTATTATAAACCAGTCTAACATACCGTAATAAACACAGCTGCTATTATCATCCCCCCACCCCCATTTGCCAGTGACAAGAAAGGGAAAGTGACCTTGACTGTGACCGCCTGTGGCTATTTTTAGCCGTCCTTGTGTTCGGAGGTGGTCAGTAATGCATATCTGTATATTTACTGATCATAATACTTATCTCTTATAAATAATTCATTTAAAATTTATTTTTTTGCAAAGAATATTCAGTAAATGACTGCATTAATTCTTGAAACTACCTACAGTGGTAAATTTAGGATATAAATAATGAACAGAAGTCACGTCATGGATTCGGAGTTTGGTCCTTAACGATCACCATAAATGTAGCCTCCCTTTTTCGCGAAACACGTATATAAATTAAAGAAAATACTTGCAGTATATTTAATATATTACAGTATATTATATATAAATAAATAAACAAATAAATTCAAATTCCCTTATCATCCTGTGTCATATACAGAAATACTTGAGTCCCTGAGCGAGTACACAAAAAGAAAACGGACATCCTGGAGTGGATAGAGAACGGACATCTCTACTGGGGGACTCAAACGTTTCTCATGTTTTGTGGGCGCTCTAGCATAATATGAATAATATGTAAATTACAATTTACATATATATATATATATATATATATATATATATATATATATATATATATATATATATATATATATATATATATATATATATATATATATATATATGTAAATTGTAAAAATTTAAATAAAAGAGAAAACTAAATACGTAGCGTTTAAAGTGTTAAAGTGTACTGTACAGTGTTGTGGCTTGGCTCAATGTTTACAGTTCACGTTCGACATCACTTGTTCATTTGATTTATGTGTTTTGTTTGTGAAGAAATACCTGTACAGTATATGTAAATTGTAAAATTTTAAATAAGAGAGAAAAATAAAATAAGTAGCGTTTAAAGTGTACTGTACATTGTGGCTTGGCGCGGGGTTATGCAGTGTTTACAGTTCACGTTCGACATCACATGTTCAATTGATTTATGTGTTTTGTTTGTGAAGAATTGCAGAAATAATTTATGTAATATTTATGTATACAGTATACCTGTACAGTATATGTAAAATGTAAAATTTTAAATAAGAGAAAAACAAAATACATAGCGTTTTAGACCCGCGCGCTCTGTTTACTCCACACTTTGTTTGAAACACGTGAGCTGTTGTTCTCCACAAATTACTGTTTGAAGTTTTCTTGATTCTGATTACTGTTTCTCCAATTTTGTGACTATGGAAAAGAAGAATATCTCTGGGAAGCACTCTGGTGATCGCATTTCCGGTGGTGATCGTAAAAGAAAGGCTATAACACTTGAAGAAAAGCTTGATGTTTCATGACTCCTCAGCCTCAACATCAACCTTCTCCCCCATCAAGTTATATTCATATTTTTTCAAGGTAAAGTGTAACATTTACTGTATGATTTCATTATTAGATATGAATGTAACATTTATTTAGACTGTGCTATCCTTTGTGTTAGGCTAACTACGAAATTTTTTTTCGATTTGGAGTAATCTGCACCTAACCCTATTTTCTCCATAAGCCATGTTATTTCTATTACACGAATTTCTATAACACGATGTTTTACAAGAACACTACTATCGCGTTATAGCAGAACTACCTGTATTGTCAAATTGGAAATTTTGTAGAGAGACGACTGATGGTAGATAGGTATAATCCTATCAATTTTTATGATGACACTCAATTCAGACAATGATATAGGTTCAGCAAGGGGAGATTTCCTTGATACTTTCCTTGATATTGAGCATCTACGTGACAGACCTGTTGGCTATGGTTCACCTCTACCTCCCATTATCTGCTGAGGATTGCGTTGAGATTCTTCGCAATGAATAGTTTCCAGGTAAGAAAGATTCTGGTTACTGAATGAGTTATGGTAATGTGCTACAACACTTTTGTGTTTCGGGTCCATGAGGATCAAGCGGGTAAATGTAAAGAACGCTGACGCTTCTTTATTTTGATTGGTTTTTTTTTAGGAAAACTATTTTGAATATTTTTAATATAATTGAATCAATGCTGAGTGCATTTTGATTTTAATGTACAGGTTGACAACCCTTTATCCGAAATTCCGAAAACCGAAAAGCTCTAAAAACTTAATGTTTTTTTGTGGGGCTTTTGTGGGGCTCTTTTTTTTTTTTTTTTTTTAACAGGGATTATTAGCCCACCCAGGCATAGATCGCTGACCCACATCGGGGCCTGGGGGGCGAAAATGTAACAGTAATAATAATCATAATAATAATAATTATTCATAGTAAATAAAAATTTTAATAAAAATACACCAAAATAAAATAATAATGATTACAATAATAATAATAATAATAATAATAATAATAATAAAATATAATAATAAAATTAATAATAATAATAACAATAATACTGTAATAATAAAATAATAATACAGTAAAGAAATACAAGAATGGAAAAAAGATCAAAAGTGAGAAACACGACCTAGACCTATGAATTATTATTATTATCATTTTTATTATATTTTCGAACCCCAGGCCCCAAAGTGGGTCAGTGATCTATGCGGTGGGCTAATACACAAAAAAAAAAAAAAAAAAAAAAAAAAAAAAAAAAAAAAAAAAAAAAAATTCTGAAAACCGAAATGCCTCTGGCCCCAAGGATTTCGGATAAAGGATTGTCAACCTGTATTAATAATGGAAAGTCTTCTCTTAACATTACTAATTAGGGGAAATGTTAGGTTAAAAGGACAGAAAGACACCTAACTTAACCAAACCTAGCCAGGTTACTACACCCTACATTGATTCATCTTGCTTTGGTTATGAATATTGAAACCTGTCCCGGGTTATACGGGTATCTACCTTTTGTATGTAATTGTTCTTCCTCTATGAATTTCTTTATCATCATATAACAACACAGCCACGTTGTAGCACAGTATACCATAAATCATTATAATTTGATTGTAATTATAAACAAAATTAACTTATGATGTGCAAGGAGAGATTTTCATTCTCCGTAAAAGCTCATCGAGTCAAAGTTGCAGCCATAATCTTGTAAACATCACTCTCGATGGTGACTGGCTGTCGTAATGATGTAACTGAAACATGATTGGCTGGAATTTCAGTGTTCGAATCCTTGCTCGTAATTGAAGAAAATGCAACAGATTACCTGATCCGGGGATCAAGGCGATGTTCTGAATATGGGTAATCCACTACAGGAAATCTCGGATCGAGGAATCCCGATTCGCACGCCTGAGCTGAACTCAAACCCAGGCTCAAACCACCGTTCTGAATTCGGGCCAAAGTGTTCAAGGCTCATCTCTTGTTTTCTTGGCAGGCAAAAGTTTTCCTATAATATTGTACAGCTGCTCCCCGACTTACGACCGGGTTAGGGACCGACATCCAGGTTGTAATGGCCCTTGTTTCATAAACAGAAGAATTATATAAATGGGTTAATTACATTTGATTTATATACTGATTCACCCCCTGTAACTTTCCACTAGCTATGAGGTGACATGTTCTGTGCACGTGATAAGGTGGGCCTACGGGAAGCCGCGTCATTTTATGCTGAGGTAAAGGCATTTGTAGCCGGCTTTCTGGCCACCCCAAGTGTGCAGTAGTTTGCTAGTACTCACGAGAGGAAGACGTTACTTGAGAGCCCTCGTGGATGGCTCCGTCTTCCCTCAAGGGAGGACGACGAGCCTATTCCGTTCTCCCTTGATAGAAGTCACTACTCATAGAACTCTCCCTCAATGCCTCACATAGAAAGGACATCTTTAAGTAGGTCTATTTACATAGCCTCTGTCCTTCTCTTAACACTCATAGTTACAATGATAAGTTACGGTTGATTTACACTTTGGAATTGTCTTAGTTGTTCCTAAATAAATGGATAATTTTAAAAGTCTAATATTAAATTTTTTAGTCATTTTAACAATTATTGAACATAATTGAAAGTAATGAAACTAGTTTT